ACTGTGGGAGACGGCTCTTTTGAGCACGACCCACCGGCTGGCAGGCCAGTTCGCGGGTTTTGGACGAAAAGTCTCATTTTGAGAGTGTCGGAGGTAGCCTCAGCTTGAATGGACCTCAGCAGACTTGTAGACTCGTATAGTACAGCTACGAGGCCTGTCTCCCTGAAGCAAGAGTCTAAGAGATGCCACAGCGCTGTACAGTATGCAGTAGTACTTCACGTTACCCAGGCCTCACTCTGTTACTTCCCTTACCTACATATAGGCAATTCACTTTCCTTCTTTGAGGATGTCGGCAGGNNGGGCGGCGCTGGCTTACGGCACGTCTGAAATCGACTGGCCAATGCGCCCGCTATATGAGCAGAGCCCGCGCGCTCAGCGTCCGATAGTATTAAAAATTGTAACTGTTGTCGTTGCTGCTGTTGGTGTTGGTGTTTTGCTGAAAGGGGGGTCTGAGAGGGTCCCTCGTTTTTGGGATTCGTAATTTCTGGGCTTCGTGAAGTCTACGCTGTAAGCCAGCCCAAGCGTGCTGACACATAGTCTGTGTGCCTGTGCATTTATAGTTGATCAGAGTTATGCTGGCATATGCACAACAGATGACACTTGCATTGCGTATCATGAGTTACGCTACTTGACGTTACATTAGATTCAACGTGAATCCGTATAATCAAAACAAGGTCGCTTTCTGACTATCATCATAACAGCGTAGAGGGCCAAAGTGGGGGCACGCGCAGTGGGAGGGCCGAAAACATAAACAAGTTACATCTTAGAAGCAGGAACAGCACTACGCTCTAGAGTCAACAGCTGTTGCGATGTATTTACATGACCGAAACTGTGGACAATTGCCCTACGGAGTCGATGGATCAGAAGCTTAGAGGCTCAGAGCTTTACAACCAAAAGACGTGAGACACCAAGCCTTACTTGTAAGTCCGAAACCCTAAATTCTGAACCCTAAATCCTACACCTTCTCAGGACCCTTCTGGCTTATGATTCAGGGGATCGAGTCTTAGAGTTAAGAGGTTCTGGCATGATGGTTTATCGAGGGTTTAGGTCTTAGGTTTGAAAACCAGCCACAGGAAGGCATGGCAAAAGCTGGTCCTCAGGCAGGGCCGTGAGTTTAAGGCAAGTCGACGGCGCAACGGTAGCTTCGTGCTTAAGTATACAATCGCATATGGTTCTATAGAACTTTTTCATGCGGGTTGTAGGCCGGGGTTCACGGTTGAATTTTCAGTCAGGCTTTATTTCGAGATGTGTAAGTAATTTTTCGATGTGAGTTTCCATGCACTAGCTAGCGACGACACTCACTTGCACCCTGCACATCTCAAAGGCAGGCCTGGGAGAACCCGTCGGTTGAATCTTGCGGTCCAAGACCATAGCCTCAGACATTGATCCTACCCAAAACCCTAAAGCCTAGAGTTTAGGGGTTTAGGATGGTTTGGGGCTTCCGAAGCCAAGCCTTCAAAATCTGCCGGTCTGCTACCAAGTCCGTGGACCCAATGCCTTGAGATTGTTAGACCGTGCAGTTTTCTATCCTGAACAACATTATAGTTGTATAGGGCTACAAGGGCATCAATAAATAGAAAGGAGCTTAGGTGTAGGTTCTTGTATACTTAACGGGTTGCAGAAACATACATGTTCGTGCGTATCATGCAGGCCACCATGCTATTTTTCTGAAAGCTCATAGTTAACCAAAAGCCCTGAACCCGAACCTCTTGAAAGCTCAGAATCTGCGCCTTTCCGCTCCACATATCTTCGGCTCAAGGATGTGCGGTGACATGCGGTGACATCCCCAGTGGTCTCTCCCTGGCTGTCCCCGACATTAGGGCTGTGAGCTAACTCGGTAGTAGATAGTTGCTTGCAGGATTCCTTTGCGGCTTTCCGAAACCCTAAACTCTACCTGGATTTGTAAAAGGAAATCAAGTGAGACCCTTCGTATCCTAGATCTTTTGCTGCCCGTGTACACGCATACAAAACCATACACTGCATCTGCAGCCATCACCATGCATACATTCAACATCAAAGACCGCAACCAAATCCCCCAACTAAAGCCCGAAGCCCTAAATCTTAAACCCTACAACCCTGCAGCCCTGCAACCCTAGACCCACAAGCTCTAGCCCGCCGGCTCCGTGCACAAACTTGTCAGCACGCAAAGCTGTCAGCCCGCCCACGTGCGGTTTCTTCCGGACCAAGGCACGGCATTCGAAGGGCTTGCGGTTTCAGGATTTTGCATGTGGGGCTCCTGCGGCTGCTGCAAGGGCTAAGTCCTCAGTTTCTTGCCGGGTCCGTGCTTTGTTGACTTGATATGGGTTTGGCAGGAAACACATCTCATGGGGCATGCTTTGCGGCTTTGGGACTGTAGGAGTTCATATGGCGTTGAAGTTTAAAGTTTGGGCAATCTTCGGAGTTCCTCTGCATTCTTATACAAACACAAGATCATGAAACCTGCTGAGACATGGTAAAATATGGTAAACGCGTTAAGGTTTAGGTTTTATGGGTTGGGGCTTTTGGCAAGTAGAGTTTAGGGAGAACCTCCTGGCAGACTGTGCACTGTGTTGTGCGTGTCTTGGGTAGTTAGGGTTAATTTAAAGTTTAGGGTACATACTATGACAGCCAGTTTGTTCTGTGGCTTGGACTTTGCATCAGCATAATATGCCCCTCCATTTACAATAAATGCTTCAGGCTCCGACTGCTTGTTCGATCCACTAGCCCTGAGCAAGCAATAGCGTACAAGCCTGAGTGGCAAACTTGAGCTATTTGCTAAGGAGTATTTCCACGACTGAAGTATTCACGGCAGGATCCTGAATGGTTAGTACTATCCCTCATGGCTCTCCAATATACTCAAAGTATGATACACCATGATACACCCCAGAACTATATATCCTAAACATGAAGGCCCCTACATTACATCCATGGCCACTCTTGTGACTGAGATGGTGCAAGAGCTTCGGTACTCACGCCCTAAGACTTCAAGCAGCGATAGTTCACGGAGCCAAAGGTTGTCCATGCAATCTATCTAATATAGAAGCCGAAACATCTACCAATACTACTCCTCAGATCCTTCAACCCTAGGGTTTAGGGTTAAACCTTAAACCTTAGCTCTCGTCCCATGTGCTCCACTCAAGTCCCATGTGCTCCAAATTGCTCTTGCCGACTGATCTTGCGAAGCTCTCACGATGGAAATTTGTTAATGCAGACCCGAAATGATTACAAACACAACCCCTGGGG